TTGCTCCAATGTTGGTATATAAAAGTTCTTACTTAAAGACATAAGACCCAAAACATGGACCCTGCTAGCGTATTGCAACATGAGATTAAATCTAACAAGTATTATATGTTCTACTTAATAAGGTTCAATTACAAAAATAGCTTCCGGATAAACATAATTCTTATCATAATTCTTCCGTAACTTTTGGGCTTTAATAATTTCCCGAAATGGATCGGGGAACGCAAATATTTTGCATGTCAAGTTTTAATTAATCAGTCTTTTAATCAAGTTGCTAACAAAATTAAAAATCCAATATTATTGGATGGATGTTTATTACTCTGCTCTTTGACGCCAAAGCTAATGAACAGATTTTGATGATACTTTACAGCTTGTGACCTAAATTCACGAGAGTGAATCTGTGGGAAAAATCTAATTCCATAATATTAAATTGTTGAAAGCTTTCACTATTATTTGCTACCATATCCCTGAAACTTGGCTAAATATCAGATCTAAGACACGAGTAAAGATACTCGATAATCACAGCAACACAGTAATTAAATAATAACAGAATTAGCATTGAAGAAGTAATTAATATATCACAACACGACGGCGACAAATCTCGCGAATAAGCGGAACTGATTAACAATCAACGTCAAAACACCGGCAAATCCCGAAATTATACAAATTCGCTATAAAGGCGCAACCACACGACGCGACCACTACTTATCTCAATATGGTAGATAGGTAGTGTAATAAGTAACTAATTCCCGTTTTCACCATCAATCCCTAATTTTTAAGTGACCCCTATGAAATCAAAATTTCTGTTATGTGTTACCATAGGGGTCACTTAAAAATTAGGGATTGATAGTGAAAACGGGCATAGCTCAGCCTGAGTTGCACCACCTCTAACTTTGACGATAACCGGTGTTTTTTGGATAGAGTTTGACAGATATTTGACGTTTGTTACCGTTAAAGTAAGATGGTGCAACCCAGCCTTAGTCATTAAACTCTACATCTATAGTTTTTGCAAAGCTAATAGTAAGGACGAAACGATTTAAGTGATTAAGTGACTACGAGTATACAGGGTGTTAGGTAAATGGGTATATGAGCCGACACTAGCCCATGTTAACATGGGCATATAAATGGTATGGTGAAGTCAGAAATTTGATATCATCATTTTATTTTTTAAATTTTCATAGAAAATAAATTTTATAAAATCCGATTTGTATGAAAATTTATATGCCCATGTTAACATGGGCTAGTGTCGGCTCATATACCCATTTACCAAACACCCTGTATAAAATAAAAAATAAAATGTAACTATTATCGTCTTAACTGTAAATGCCACAATACGTACAAATTTATTTTGGCGTTAAAGTTTAAATAAATAAACACGATTTTATCGTCTTTAACATTATTGTCGTGTCGTCTAACCAGTAGATATAGCTCCCCGGCAATTTAGGCTCGACTCGATGCCCATGTAATTGTCAGTCTGAGACAAAACCACGCTGTTTAAGTGCTCTCAATTTCTACTAATATAGGACACTAATACCCGTTCTCACCACCCATCCATAATTTTAAGTGACCCCCATGAAAACAAAATGCCTGTTATGTTACCATAAGGGTCATTTAAAAATTAGGGATTGATGGGGAAAACGGGCATAAGCCATCGGTCTAACTAATACTATACAGCAAAATCAAAAATCAAAATCAAAATCAAAAAATATTTATTCAGTTTAGACCACAAGTGGCACTTATGAGCATGGCTAGTAATGAATTAATTAAATTCCCATTACAAATCTCGGCCATAAAACATTATTTCAATTTTCCGTACCGTTGTTTATTTACTTGTCATCATGGCTCTCTCCTTGTAAGTGTACCGATTGCTCTTTGAATAGTCATGTTTAATTCATGCTAGGGTATTTCTTATGAAATCTCAAAATTTGAGATTGTATTTAAATTTCTTTTTTTTTAAATAAATTTCGATATTTTTTGCAGATATCAAAAAAGTTACTTTTAGAGATCTGTCCAGGGGTATTGGTCTTCCATATTTTTTTATATTACCTTTAAAAAATGAGGTTTTAAAAAATTAATAAATGAGGGAATGATTAACGGAGTGAGGGAATGATTTATTATTATATTATAGTAAAAAACAACATGTACAAATGGCATATTGGCATGCTTTAAGCATTGACAAGTATTTAGGGTATTCACTAGTCTTAAGTTTTTACTTGAACTTTCGCTTTTTTCGTTAAATATTTTAATCTTTCTTTTTCCCGCAGTTTTTTCAAAGATTCAGTATTATTTTTCATTTTTCTCGCCTTTTTCTATCGTATTCTTTCTTTTTAGGGTTCCGTAGCCAAAATGGCAAAAACGGAACCCTTATAGTTTCGTCATGTCCGTCTGTCCGTCTGTCCGTCTGTCCGTCTGTCCGTCTGTCCGTCTGTCCGTCTGTCCGTCTGTCACAGCCGATTTACTCGGAAACTATAAGTACTACAGTGATGAAATTTGATGGGAATATGTGTTGTNCTCAAATAAAAAAAAGACTTATGTAATTAAATGCATGTGGCTCGGCACTAATGGCTCGGGAATCAAATTTCGCAATTTGATGAGAAATACCCGCTAATGCCACGCTTTCTGACCTTCTTTTTCAATATAGAATTTCTTTCAAAATCAAAGTGACTCGTGAATATGTCCTACAAGACATTTCCAAAACAACGTAAATAAATTAATGGTGAAAGATCTGTCCAATATACAGAGCACATCAAGGTAGACACTGGCACCTTAAGTTGGTAAAAATAAGGGTGTTTTTGCAACCAAAATATATAATTTAATGTGCTGTCATCTATACATACAAGATACTTGATTGGCAAGATAATTGCCAAGGACTGGTAATAAATTAGAGGCTCTTTGTATTAATGAGAATTGCAATGTCGTGGTATTTGGAAATTATGGTGATTTTGAAGACGAATTTCAAACACGAGAAGTGGCAAGGCACAATTCTAAGAAAACATTGGCGAGACGGTAAAATTGACGCGAAAATCTGGCCACATAGCGATGGGTAACCAAAGAGGTGATGAGGAAATAACGAAGTCTGATTGGTTATTCAAAACACATTTCTGTCTCCTTTTCTCTTCACTCTGGTGGAACAAGCCTAAACAAGACGTAAGAAACGGGCTTCATCATCATCATCATTTCAGCCACAGGACGTCCACTGCTGAACATAGGCCTCCCCCAATGACTTTCACATCGCACGGTTGGTAGCGGCCTGCATCCAGCGCCTTCCTGCTACCTTTATCAGGTCGTCGGTCCACCTTGTGGGTGGATGTCCCGCGGACTTCTTCCTTTGTTTCTATTTAATTGGGACATCGTAGTCAAAAACCCGAATAAGTTAATAAAGCTAACCTATGTGATAGCAAGCAAGTTACTGAAAATAAACTGACAAAATGTCACCATAGATTACGTAATCAATAACAAAGGCACTCCAAGGCCCTCATTTCTTACAGTGACACGAGATAAATGCGCCTTTCGGGGCATTGATGACCTGTTTTACAAAGTGATTAATTGCGTAACACCTGTACCCGTTTCTACAGATGTTACAAGGACGCAAGATAAGATAGTGCCCTGTAATACGAAGTAGGCTTGTTCTTACTCGGATACTGAACTGGACAATAAGTTCATAGTTCGTTCTAGTTCACCTAAAGGAATTGCTTCCTAAAAGTACATAACGTAAGTGCGCCTATTAACGACCCCCCAAAATTTGTATTCTATTACCGCCCTATTTTCCTTTCTTTCATAAAAGACATAATAACAGGTTCCAGAAAACACGTTACCTAAAAAATATCTAGATATGTTTATTGCCTATCAAAACGATTAAAGTTTGTGTTCGTAAATAACCAGTAAACGGAGTTATTTGATATTAAATGGGACGCGCCCGCAACGGACGCACTTTTCATACTGACGCGCTCCCAGCTACTTAAGGTGCACCTTGTTATTAATTAGCGATTTTAACACATTTAAAATGAGTATACCAACATGTTTTTGCATAACAATATTAATTCGTACTTTAGTTTCCTTANGTACATGTACTACACAAGTCTAATACGAACCTTTCAATACACAGGGTTGCTTAAAACATGAGCAATGTCACAGGAACTGAGTAGGTATTTTGTTTTTAGATACAATAACCATGAAGCAAGTAACTTGCGTAATCTGGGATAAAAATACCCATGTACCAATTTCGATAAATTCTGGCGTAGGTGCAGATAAATTAAAGCTCGGAGAGTGACACAGACTACCCTTTGTTCAAAAACCTTCATAATGTTGATTGATTACTTATACTGCGATAGAGACAGCGATGTGACAGATTAAAATCCACGCAGAATTTAATATAGCATAATTGAAATCAGTTAGCAGCTGGCTAAAATTCCTAATATAAAAATACTGTTTAAAATTTTGTTTTGACTTACCTGAAATACATTTTAAATATTTTGTTTTGACTTACTTGGTTTACTTTTGATTAAAATCACACCCAAGGGTCCAAGGACGAAAGGGTACGCTATATGTAAATATTTCTAAAATTATGCAAAATGTAATCCGCTTTATGATTTATTTTTGCAATAAAAGGAAACATATTATTATGACCTTCTTCGTAACTTGCATCTACAAAAATACTTGTAATCTGCTACAATTTATCAATTTTGGTTAAGCAGACAATACAGACTTTCGCATTTTCAAAACAAACATTTACTTTAGAAATACTCACTCGGTGGGTAGTCCCGGTAGCTGATGTCAGAATACAGGGCGAAGGGCGAAGCACAGGTGACGGAGATAACCCAGAGGATGAGGATGATGCATGAGGCCCTCGTGAGCCCCACCATGGCGTACAGGTGCAGCGGGTGACAGATGGCTAAGTACCGCTCGCACTCCAGAGAAAAAAGACACTCTTTGGTAAGTTAAAAAGGGTCGTCCTCGTGCAGTGGAGAGTATATGACCTGATAATGATGTACTTATCTACTTACTTGGTGGGTAGTCCCGGTAGCTGATGTCAGAATACAGGGCGAAGGGCGAGGCGCAAGTCACGGAGATGACCCAGAGGATGAGGATGATGCGTGAGGCCCTCGTGAGCCCTGCCATGGCGTACAGGTGCAGAGGGTGACAGATGGCCAGGTATCTCTCCAGGGAGAACGCCGATATCGTCAGCACGGACACGTAGGTAGCCCTGGAAGAAGAAATGCCATTATTCTTCTTGCTTTTCATTTGAAATAATTTATTTGGATTATCATAAGATTGCACAGCTTTTCGTAAAATAATTCTTCCTTCAATCAAAATACCAGGTTAGAACCCAAAACATAACTGCGGAAACCACAGTAGAAAATCGAAAATGTTAAAAAATTTACTAAAAGTTTCCTAAAATAAATCTGTCACAAACAGTTATTGGATTCTACTTCGGAGTTTAGCCGAAGTTGTTCGAACCTAACATAAATCAATCGTCACGAATCTGCTACATGCTGACTATAAAATACACTTTTCTTACTAAAAATTTATCGAGTATTTCCTCCAGCTTCTTTATGTTCGACAGATGCCAACTACGAGTGAAGTTAACTACCAGTTATTGTATTCGTAACTCGTTAATCAAATCTAACGATGCCAGCTGTCGTTACAAAAACCCTGTCTATAAACTTAAATGATAAATCGCCGACAAACCGTTTCATTTCCTTCAGCAGTTCTTCATAATTCATTATTTATTTCAGTTTGATCACCAAAGACATCAAAGAACGAAATAATATTGCGTTAACGTTTTTATGAAGATGACCTAGGTACTTATTTGTATTTACTCTGCTATAAATCACAAGTGAATAAATATTCGAGAAAGAAAGCTTTATTACTTTTATTAGAGACCTTATCTTTACTTGCCACAATATGTGATAGAGATCAAACGCAAACTTTTCAGAAGAGATACAAGACAAAGAGATAAATACCTACGAGAGATAATAAAACAGTTATACTTAGTATATTTTCTCTATTATTATGAGTAATCATGGAAACTTATTGAATGTATGTAAAATAATAATAGCATACGTGTATGTCTGCGAAAGTAATCAATTTAACACCAGAAAAAAAAATCATTTCACACCTAATCACTACATATTAATGTGGAATTAGAAACAGTATTATAGGGCTACTTGCTAAATATTTTTAAGACTGTGCTCTTAAAAGGCCAATTTCCTGAGGGTAAATGTTTTTTTTTTTTTACCAATTTTTATTACTTCCAAGCAAAAATTGAAAAATTTAAACGCCTATTAGGCTTTCCGCCATGTAGAGGAGACCGAGGAGAGTTGTCATTGTGGATGTTTTTAAACCTCAGCGCGCATTTTTTAGCCCGAGACTTGAGCAAAAAAACGCGCACAGTTACGAGCTCGCTAACAGCAGCTAATCTATACTAATATTATAAATGCGAAAGTAACTCTGTCTGTCTGTCTGTCTGTCTCACTTTCACGCTCAAACCACAGAACCGATTTTGATGAAATTTGGTATAGAGATAGTTTGAGTCCCGGGAAAGGACATATAATAGTTTTTATCGCGGTTTTTGAAACAGGGACGCGCGCGATAAAGTTTTTCTGTGACAGACAAAATTCCACGCGGGCGAAGCCGCGGGCGGAAAGCTAGTACCTAGTAAATAAGGTCCAAAAAATCTACAATATCACAAATCTCTGTTACAACTTACAACTCGCTTCAGTCTCCCCTTCAAACATGTTGTATCTTTGTAGACAAAGCCAGTACAAAGCGAATTCAGATAGTCCTCCAAATTCCAGTAAACGGGGTTTACTAATTCGGATTTTTTCCCTTTCGGGTAGTGCGACCAAAGCCTTTGGGTTGTAGGGATTCACTCGTTTTGATATAATCATTTTGAATAAGTATTTACAGTATAATGCCTAAAACGAACAAAAGAAAGATAGAGAAATTTTTTTAGTCGGAAGCTTTTTTAGCTTTTTATTGATCCAATTCTTGGATTTCGCGGTTCCAAAACGACAGACTATTGAAAAAAAATCTTTATAATAAAGTAAAGAAATATTCAGACTGAGAATAAATATACAATGAAGATCTTGGAATCGGAACATAAACTTTTCCAATTTCTAAATTTCTATTGCTTTGACGCTAAAGTTATTCAAAGTATAATTTCTGAGACAAGACAGCAGGTGGCTGTAATTAATTAGTATAGGGATTACTTAATTAATTTCGCATTAGACCTATTACTAATCGGAGCAGAAACGTGATAGTAGCTTAGAATACATTTAAAAGTTTCGACGAGCACCTACATTATTAGGACTTTATATTTTAATAGCAAAGTTCGCATTTACTCGTATATTGAAACTACTTTAAGGCATTGTGTAGGGTGTAAGATCGTTTCATCCACGAAGACGCGCCCCACAATTCTTCCGCTAATGTTTGAGTGTTATCGGTACACGCTTAATATCCATGAGTGCACACGCACACTACAATAATGACGCTCAGATTGCTCGGATCAAACTCCCCGCAAAAATTGGTGGGGCGCGTCTTCGTGGACAAAACGATCTACACATTTTTTTTTACCATAAGTTAGTAAACTCGTGCCCACACTATTTATTTAGATTAACGTCTGCCAACTTCGCGTAATCTGTAGTTGGAACAATTTTAACTGAACCATTTTGAAACAAAGCGTTCTCCCTAGTTACTAGTTTCACTAGGTATTTAGTGAAAACTATTTTTGGGAAAGCGCGATTACACTAAACGGGTTTTAACTGTAATACATGTTTTTACTAGAAATACCTGACCTCACATTTAAGAAAACCGTTTCAAAAATGACTTTTTTAAATACATTAGCAGAATATTTTATACCTACAGTAACTATAACAGGTTCAGACTTCATAAATCAAAGTTCAAGTTGAATAAAAGTATGTATAATAATAGCTGATTTCCGCTTATTATAATGACACTGGCATAAGTACCCAACCACACTACTCAGCGAAAATCTTAAGCTAAGTAATTTTATCTATTTTAATATCAAATTATGGATTTCCGCAAAGTAACGCCTGATTAATTAAATTCCAAAGTAGCTTTACCTCTCGTATAAATGTCTAAAAGTACGAAGTCTCAGTCACAACTATTTTGATAGAAATTCAAATATTTGACAAGATCTTAGTGATTTTCATTTCGTAAAAGCTTTCAGTTGAAATTATTCATCGTCTTATTATTAATTAAATATACTTCAAAGACTTTTTTTCGCAAATTCATGCATACTTAATGAAGTTATGATTTACTAAGTGAACTATAATTTAATGGGTAAATAGAATAGCAATCAACTAAGCCAAGTAGAAGATTGGGAATTTAGTTACAAACACTTTAGTTATGGTGAAGTTTATTATAACTTTCACAAAAAAACATGAAGCACTTTCACAAGTATTGGAAGATTGATTGCTTTGCGATCAAGGCTATTGTAATATTAACGATGTTAACGTGAAAATCAAGAAGATTACCTGGGTTATTTCAATGTTTCAAAGAATCAAAAATTCAGCTTATTACACCTTGAATTTCGCTTCAGGGAAGTAGATGAGGAGGGGGTTTCAGCCCAACCCCCTAAAAGCCAACCTACGCAGCACATACATTTACTCTTTCAAATTTTTTGAATTAATATTATTGCTTCTAGTCCAAAGGTAACAGCCAATTCTGCTATTTTAAGTAACATTTGTGGCAAATTCAATATCGAATTTTTACTACGTCACTTCGTAAAGCTAATTTACCTAGGGGAAAAGATTTGACTAAGATTTATTAAGGGTGGGTTGCACCATCTTACTTTGACTTTGACAAACGTCAAAAATCCTCAAACTCCATACAAAATGCACCGGTTATCGTCATAGTTACTGTTAAAGTTAGGTGGTGCAACCCAACCTAAGCGTTACATAATTGAACGAATATGAACTTTAAAGGCCTTATTACCACTTAGGAAAACATAATCGCGATCCATTTTCATGAAACACCATAAGTTGATACATGTTCATAACAATCTGTACCAATTTTGAACCGGTGTACTGAATATTGTATCTTATTTATTCAGAAGCAGGGTTTGAATGGCTATAGCAAAATTTCCTGCCGAATCATCAACTAATGATTTGCATGGGTAGATTCCGGACCTCGGCGTAAAAGTAAATATGCTACACAAAGTATGTATTATACAATGTAACTTGCAACGTACACAAGTGATATAACGTTCATTTTTCATCCCAATCAGTCTACACAGTTGGACAGAAATTTATTTGTGACACCGTGACGGTGACCGACATAGCTCGCAGAATTGCTAAAATCAAGTGGCAGTGGGCGGGGCACATAGCTCGGAGAGACGATGGCCGTTGGGGCAGGAAAGTTCTCGAGTGGCGACCACGGGCTGGAAGACGTAGCGTGGGCAGGCCTCCTACTAGGTGGACCGACGATCTGGTAAAGGTCGCGGGAAGAGCCTGGATGCGGGCAGCGCAGGACCGTTCATTGTGGAAAACCTTGGGGGAGGCCTTTGTCCAGCAGTGGACGTCATTTGGCTGAAACGACTGTGACGGTGACTGAGCACCTGGCATCCGTTACGTCACATCGACACTCTGCTATGGGGCGAACGCGGGGGTGCGCGGGTGAGTGCGAGGGAGTCACATTCCAACGAGGTGCGCAGTAAGTTTGATTGGGTTGTCAACTTTTTTTTAAATAATAAATAAATCTTTGGACAATTTCACACAGCGCCAGCTAGCCCCAAAGTAAGCAACTTAATGCTTGTGTTATGGGTGCTAGCTTAACGGATATACTACTTATATACTTTTTTTTTTAAATACATAAATATTATACATAGTCACACCCAGTCCCGTCACAGAAATTAAAATTCATCATTTCAATTTCTGCCCGGCCGGGAATCGAACCCGGGACCTCTCGGCATAGTAGTCCGTTCTGAACCACTACACCAAACGGCCGACAACTGTGAACTTGTACCTACTCATAGACGTCAGCACATCAAGTAACATTTATGTATAAGTATTTTATAGCCGTAAGTAATAGGGACTATTATGCTACAAAAATTATGTAGGCTGTATTATTTTGTGCGTTATATTTTTTTCTGTTTGACAGTCACTTTTCAGGGTATATTTACATTATAATGGGGAGTGTCCCATGAGGTTATACTCTGTGGGCGTGCTAAGTTTCTTAACT